TAGACAATGTATGTGTGTTTATGGTGTCCTTTAGAGGCATCTCCTCCTGGGAGAATCAAGAGAAGCTGTCTTGTAAATCTGCTGTCTCTTGGGATATATATGGAACCACAGTCAAAATTCAAATAGTACCTATTACCATTGTTTACCCAATGCCCAACGCCCACCATGTATTGACCAAGCAGACCTGCATCTCTGCTCATGCGGGTTTATTGGTGTAGATTTATCAGATCTATACGGAGGCACCGAACATGCATGGATAATGATTTATTTTAACAGGATGAGGCAGGAAGCGCTTTCTTTTCATGCATGGGTAGGCAGCTCTCTTCAGAAATTCCAAAACCTGATGCTGAGAACTTGTTTGTGTGTGACCTGTGCTGAAACAGAAGTACTCACACAGAGGTACCTATTCTCCTTTAACACACACTATGCTTTGGATTCAAGACTCGCAGGAAAAAGGGACACTGTTCACATGTGCTGTGTCTGGTTAGGGGCTTGTAAATGATTTCTTCGCTTGAGAGGAGAGTAATTTTTGCATCCCAGATTTGGAACATTGGAGAAGACTTCAGGTAGTCCATGAACCAGATGCAGTTTTCTGGAGTGCTGTGCTGGGTATACCAGAGTCAAGTAACAGAGTCACAGCAGCCAGAACGCAAGCAGCTGATGGGAGCTCTTGCCTAGAGAATACGCTGGCAAACAGTAACCACAGCCAGCCCCCGAAACAACTTACTGTCTAGTCCACTAGTACTACGATTTTTTTATGTGGAGATTATTGATTTTAGGCTATGTTGTCAGAGAAAGGGATGTTCTGTACTTAAAACATGTTGTCTCCTAGGTCATAAACCATGTACAATTACACAAGCACTACTTACCAGTGGTTTAAACAGTGTTCGTTAGCTATTGTTGTTATCTCTCCCAAGAGATTACTGCTATATCTATCTGTAGGTTGTGATTTACAGTAGTGTAATCATCTGAAAAGACTGGATTTGTTAAGCTTCTCAGATAATACAAAACCAAGTCAAGCAATACTTACAGATACCAAATAGACTTAAAATGTTTTTCTTGCCAGAAACCATATTATTTTATTATGTTCCACCCATCCACTCTCCAACAGGCAGACAAAAGTGGTTTTTAATTGGGGGAGATGCACTAAAATGAGAAAAATACGAAGGGAATTCTAGTATTAGTGGTTATCGTAAATTTTTTTCTAAACAAGAAGAGTCAAGCAGTATCTGTACTGTAGCTGAACACTTCAGTCACAATAAATCAGGGATTTTCTCCCAGAACCTGACATCATCTGACAAAGTCTTCTTCCCTGAAGTGATTCAGAAAGAATCTTGCTATTTTGTCACAAGTATGTAAACCATGTACATGGTTAGAGATTGTAAGAGGCCTTAAAACCCATTGGTAAGTTTTCTAGTAATAAATTATTATATTAATTTATTAAAGATTACTTAGTCCTTCAGGAAAAATATTGTAATCATGTGAGGAGTTTGAGCTTTTTTCTTAACAGAGTGGACTTACAAGACCTTTTTAACCTTGTACTAATTAATTTTTACTTTGATATTCTTCACCAGTCAGAAGCCCTCACCTTTGCTTCCCTTCATTTCCTTGTGCTTTGGTGGGGTTTCACACTTACAGGCCTCTGTCGAAGGAGATCAAGGCACTTCTCCCAGCATGTGCTTGCTATCCCTGTCCTCCATGGAAGCCCATATATAGCAACTCCATAGGGATCCAGAACGCTGTTATGGGAGAAAGCTGGGAACTACAGAACAGTGAAATGCAGGGTTTCCAAAATGAGCTGTCCCAAGGCCTCTTTGAATTGAATTTTGTTGCTTTCCAGGACATGGGGCCAAAGTCATTCCTAGCACGGATGCAGCAGAGGGAAGGGCTGTGGCAGGAAGTTTCTGGGGGGATAGACCTGCTTTAATGAACCAGCAGTGAATAATCAAGGCAAGAGCTCTGGAGCTCCAGCATCCTGCTCTTCCATCCACTAGAGAGGATGGGAAGGATGGAGGCAGCAGCTGCAGCTGCCAAGAGCTTCATTCCTCTCATGGCACCCCTTCCCTTGGAAGCATCAGGACCCACATTCCTACAGCCCCATGCCACTCAGCCCCTGCCCCAGCTGCAGTAAAGCATCCTTCCAGCAACAAGGCTTTAGCCATACCCAGCAGTTCAGCTATGGCAGTTTTGCTGCCTGGGAGCTGACAGCTGTAGAGGCAGTTGCCTGCTTTGTCCAGGCTTCAAGACCCAAAGGATGGAGTGAATACAAGCTACCGAAGTCTTAAATGAAGCCCAGAAAACCCCACAGTAAGCTGGAGGTGACCCCCCCCCCACACACACACACACACACTCCAAGCAGTGTGAGGGGCAGGTAGATGCAGGGGAAAACAGGAGCTTGGCCTCTGGCAAACATCCTCATTCTTTCTGAGGGGTAGGACAGATGAGGCAAGGAAAATATGCTTTCCACCTGCCAAAGAGACTAAGGGTAAAGCTTTGCCAGTTGGACTATACCTTGTGAGTTGCTGGACAAGTATACTTCCAATTAATGTCAGTGGATTTCTGTGGGAGCGTAGCAACTGGCGTGCTGTAAGCCGTTACAGGAGTAAAGGAGGGGGGATGACAGGGAAACATATTAATGCAAATGCATGTGATGCATTTGGGTAATACTTCACGGATAGTAATGGTTGTACTTGAACAAATTAGTCCTCACCCTGACTGCTGGCTTTCTGCTTTACAAATGTGGCACTACTGTTAGTCAAAGTACATTCTCCCAAAGTCTGAAATGGTATTCAACACTGCTTCTCTGTTCAGATGTCTCTCTTTTGTCCTCTTTGCAATATAAATTTAACTTATTTATGTTTATCGAGATAACACCCCATAAATACTTTTAAATATAATGGTACTTCTCAATTTTGAATTCTCAAGCTGTCAGTAAAACATACATTAGAGCTACCCTGTGGCACACACAAGTACTTAGCTTATCCATATTTTCTCTGCTATTCAGTGAGGGAGGTATTGCTCAGTTCTCTCATAGAAGGTCCACATGCTGTTCCCAAAAAGAACCTAGTTAGACAGAACAACATCATGCATGTTGGCTGCTAGATCTTTCCTGCCCTCAGCTTCCTGCTAAAACAAATTCATTTTGATTGTTCCACATAATAAACTGTTGTTGATCAGGTAAGTCTGAATGATGCTGGTGACTGACTCATCACTCTTGGCTTGACTGATGCACAGCCTAATGAGTAAAAGTGAGGTACTACTGACTAAGAAGAAGGGCCAGTAGCGAACAAAGGAAGAAACAAGGAAAGAAAAGGGGATCTAGCAGCCATTGTATAGATAGAGAGCATTGAGAGAAGTCACTAATGGTTTTGCCAAATCTAAGCTGTATTTACTTTTCCAATTCAGTAAGACACTTAGGTTTTGAAAATGGAATGCATAAACAGTGTGCAGTAGAAATTAGCTGAGAAGCAACATCTTAATATACAGTGCAGGAGTGCATGGAGCACTTCTGATAGCGAGGGAGCCTGGGTTTCTAAACAGTCATTCCCAAAGAATGTTAAAAATATTTGTGGGAGAGAACAAGCTGGTGAAATACAACTTTCTGAGCTGCAGCCTGCTTATTTGAAGTATAAATGATCTTACAGCAACTATGTCTTTTCATATCAATGTTAAGCTTATCTTATAAACACATCTTCAGTACGTAAAGTAAGTTAAAAGCATCCATTCTAAAGCTCGGATGTAAAGAGAATGTGGCTTGGATGCTTACTGGCATGAAGATATATCCTGTCTTATTCTTTTTTGTTCTGTGATACAGTTGTAGCATTATCTGGTATCCAGGGCTTTGAAGGATTTATTGTAAGCATGTCAAAGACTTTCTAGATTACTTTGTTTTTGTAAATATTAGATCACAAAAACTGAGGAATGAGTCCCACAGACTTTCATTAAACAATGTGTCCCATTATTGTTTTTCCTGTTTTGAAGTTGAAATTAAACTAACATTAATAATACTTTGCATATCTATTCTTTCAATTAAAAAAAAAAATCTGTTCTATTAATTATCATGTCTGTAGAAATGTGTATTCAAGGTACAGCTTAAGCACTATCTAGGCACCTCTGCATATTGCTTGATCAGTCAGAGGTAAGAGGTGCCTTGCACGATCCCAATGTCCATGATGGAGCTTGGGTCAGATAGGACTGCAGTCCCATGATCTCACCTCCTTTGTGACCTGAGCAGTCCAGGACTAAGAAGCTATGGGGCAAGCCTTCCATGTGGCAGTTTTGCATGTGGGAACAGAGCATTCCCACAGCAAGTGGTAACTCTCCTAGCAGCCTTTCTGGCTCACATCCACTGGCTCAGAGAGCTAAGGGAGGTAAGTGCAACAGCTAAGGGCAGTTGGTGGAGTAGGGGGTGTGAAGGCTGTGTGGTTGAAGGCCAGGAATGGCTGAGCCTGAAGACTCTCTTGACAAGACCCTAGGGCTGGGACAAAGATGCAGAAGTGGGAAGACAACAAATCAGCAGCTTGACATAAGGAAGAGGACAGAAAGAAAAAATGGGCAGAAAACTTTCTGCCCCCTTGCCCCTAGACCTAAGTTTCAGGAAATTATGGTCATTTTGATGTTGGCATGTACTTGTCAGCAGCCTTCAGCAAGAATCCAAACCTCTTCAGTCTCCTTCCTCTGAAGGGTGGTAACGTTCAGTTGCTATTGGTTACTCTTCTGGTACCTCATGGTGCAAAGGTCACTGTCCTGAGGTAGAAGGTTCGTCTTGCTGAAGACCATATGGGTGTCAGAACACCACTGGACAGTGGAATTTCTGCTATTTTTATATGCTTTTTTAAAAAAGTATGGGAAACTAGTACTTTTTTTGTACTAATTAGTACTAATATTGTACAAACTAGGAAAGGTAGAAGAATAATCAGATTGTGAAATGAAGCACTCAAAAACTACAAAGTGCCATGATTAAGAGTTACTTGGTGATTTGATCCTGTTACACATATTAATTAGGATATTTCAAAACCAAGCTTGAGTCGAACTTTATGCTGACAGTTCTTCAATGCAAATATTTGACTGAAGCTGTTCATTTCCACAGTACTCAGTACCATAAACAGTCATCACAGTAGCAGCACTTGCTAGGTATTTTAACTTCATTTTACAGATGGGACAAACTTCTTCATAGCCAAGTGGCAAGTGCATCCAGCAAGGCAGGTTTAGAAGTCAGGATATCATGGTACCTTTTCCTTAACTCAAATGATTGTCTTCTGAGCCAGAGCCATACATAAAATATACAGGGTGGGGATGAAATCCTGTCTCTACAGAAATTAATATAACTCAGACATCACGGTGCAGATACATATCTTAAAGGTCTAAGTTATTCTGTTCACCAAACCAAATTGCTTACAAATTGGCAAACTAACAAATATCAGCATTTATCAAAATTAAATCCATATGTTCTTCAAATCCATGTATCATCAACTACTTCCAGATGTAAAAATCCATAGATAGTTTTAAGGAACCTCAGTTCTGCAGTCAGTTTCCATCACGATTTTCAAAATTAGCACTGTTCACAAGTGATATACAACAATATTTGGTCTCTTCAGGAAACAATACTTGTTGCTTTCCTTAGAGCCAGGTATCCTGTAACCACATCTGAAGGGAGCATCCGAATATAGGCAAATTCTTCAATAGTACTAAATCTTAGCTTGCTCTGGGGATCTGTGTAATTTGCCTGAAAAAGAAACAATGGTAGAGACACTATTCAAATAAAATCTCAAAACAGAATACTAAAAAAGTGTCTAATTACAAGACCACAAAATAGTGAGTTTCTTTTCTCAGTAACAGCACCTTTGTTCTACCATGTGCCCCAAAGTTTGTACTTTTTTCTTTCTCCTCGTGTCAGAACTTATGAGAAGTTAACAGACCCCTATAAAAATCACATTAGAAATGCATTAAACACAACAGAGGTCTGAAATAGTTTCATAAAAAACACAGTGCAAAAGAAATTCCTCAACTCTCTAAACTCACCCTAGCAACTCTGTGCCTTGTGCAGTCTCTCTCAAGGCAGCTCTCCAAAGAGTCAGTCTACTGCCAATAAATTACCCACAAAGAGACTGAATTATGGGAGCTCTGATAGCTTTGGACTGATTTTCTCCTCCTGCATACAACTTAGCTTTTAATTTACTATAAAGTGGTTGTTAAAGCAAAGGAGTCTCAGCTTATGGTTCTGTGACTGAACTGATAAGAAATGTGAACTCAGTGTTGTGCTCTGCTGCAGATGCCTGCTTTCAGGATAGCCGCCTGGCCAGCTAACCCTGGGCTATGCTTGTGTCCTCTGCTGTATTTGCACCCTGGGTGCCTGGGAGCGGTGCCAGTGTCCTTCCAGTCTCTCCCCTTCCCTGTTGCTACAGAAACCTTGAGCTCGGATGAGCTTGGGGGAAGCACAGGAGGGTTGGCTGGAAGAAGGCAGGCTTCAGGGTACTGCCTCTCCACCTTCAGCCTCCAGGACAATCACTGTCTGTTCAACACTGGATTTCCAAGTGCCTGCCAAGGCTCTGAAAGGGTCTTCTGTACCTTTTTTTAACAGGAGATGGTGGCAGGCTGCAAGGCACAGGCAGTTGAGATCCCTTAGGACATTGCTACTGAAAGAGAAAAGGCCAGGGAGAGCTGGAGTGCTCCCCATCCATACCGTTGAAGTGCAGAGCCCTCTACCATCTTTATGTTAAAAAGGATCTGTTGACCATGGTAACAATCCAGATAATTGTCTGGCCTGATAAGAACTGGCAGAAAATTAAGTGTTATTTGTAGCTTGTTTCTTTACAAAGAAATGCCACAGGGTTAATTAAATGTAGTCAGCTAACAGTCAAGCCATCAATTCATTTTCAAACAAATGGCAAAGTTAGGACATTAGGAGTAAATTTATCCCTGGTAGTAACTTTATGGTAACAGCAGGTATACATTAATTTTTATTTCACACTTTACATCTGGCTTGTGTAAGAAAAAGCTAACTAAGTAGACTGCTTTTCAAATGTGCCTAATTCTGTAATAAATTAGCCAAGCAATATCTTCAGTTTATATTGCACACCGATGTAGGTTAAAACATTACAGCAGCTCCTCACCATTCTGATACTTCATATTGGGCTGTACTGTTTGCAGACACTCATGTATGGTAATGAGTCATTTATGCCATGACTTCAGTCTGAAAACAAATGATACTGCTACTTCAGCAATAATTAAAACAGATTAGAAAAGTGAAGTAAGGTGATTTTGCAAAGAAAAAACTCTGTCATATTTAGAAACTAAGTCAAAGGCCACAGATGTATGCTCTTCAAATACAATATATTAGTTATCTCAATCTGTTTCTATAGTAACATGGCTGATCCATTTTCAGAAAAGGAAGAGCAATATAAACATTTGAAGGATTGGCGGTTTTTTAATCTGCTTTACAATAAATTACTTTGTTTTGCATGTTAAAATATCTAAATACTCATCTTGCAAGTTTGGAAATACTAGATTTATTTTGCAGTGTCAATATAGTAGATAATAGCTTTTGAATTCTAGGCTGCCTTACAAATACATATTGGCTGCTCTGCTTAGACTATTGGTAAATTTAATTCCATTTGTTATACACAGAAAAAGAAGACGATCAGTAGAATTTAATTGTGGCATTTAATATAACTGCAGGTATACTAATGAGAGTGTTTTAATACACTTCTCTTTTTTTGTACGTGCTAGACCACATTAATTCTTTCTTAAATGCTAAGGAATATATTTTACTTTCTTTCCATGGGGAATCCAGCATTCCCATAGAAAATATATTCTTACACAAATGCTTTCAGATTTTACGCAGAAAATACAGGGACATTTTTCTTATCCTAGATTTATAAAATACTCTATTACACGACATATCTTCCTACTAGGAAATGATCTTGAAAATATATTTAGTGCTTCTTATGAAACATTTCTAGCTTAGCAAATTAAAGGACACGCTGTCTCAGTTATCTTAATAAAAAAGATTTTTTTAAACACGGTATTTTTATCACAGTCTGGAGAAACCTTGCAGGCCAGGTAAAATAGGAAACTTGACTCACAACCCAATTAGAGGATGAAAAATTAAAAATAAAAAAAAAGAAAGTGGAAAGACAAAAAAAGGAAATAAAACCAGCACTGAATGGATTCATATAGAAAGGAGAATATTTATATTGAGCTAGAAAAGAGTACATAAATCACTGATGGAAAGGAGGAGCTGGTAAAGAAAAACTGAGGAGCTGAGAGGAAGACTCTTATTTCCCATGGCTAAACTGACTCTTAGCTGGTAGGGACATGGTCTTCACTCACATCTGTAAACTGCATCGTCATCTCGTTATAGTTACAATGACTGACTGGTTTTGAAATGCATCAAAGGCCAGTGCTGGAAAGCATTATTTGGTTCCTCAGAGATGGGGCAGTGAAAGGGACTTATGCCCTTATGCTTTCTGTCCTGCATGAGCCCCTCACAGCTCAGAGATGTTGCACCAACTCTAATAACACCTGGTGTGAATGCTACTAATACTTGCAAAGCAACTCTAAGGGGAGAGGATTGGAAACAGATGAACACCATTAAGTGACCCAGTATGGAATTTTTGCTGTTTTGTGAAATCTACTTATTACCATTTCACATGTCCACCTATCCTCCCTCCCTCCACCCACTGTATCTTTATAGAGAGGAAGGGTCCTTATACAAAGTTCCTTATTCAACTGACCCCTGCTCCTTGTCTGAAAACAAGTTGCTATTATATCAAAGCAAGACTGTAAGTCTGCCTCACTGGAAGGAATTATTTGCCGAGTTTGTGAGCAGTGTCTTGAATTTTCTGTCTATCAGTTGATCTGCAAGGGAGATGTTGCTTTCTCATTCCCTCTTGAACACCAAGGGTTACTAGCCTCAATCTGAGCAACCCTCTCCATTTCCAAATCGTGCTCAAAGGCACAGGCTGGAAACATGCCACCTCCTAGGTGTCTTATTTAAATGTGTTACTTAAAAAAAAAAGTCAAACAAAACATATACACTACCAAATCAAGAACTCAAACGTTAGGATGTGCAGGAATACATTTGGCGCTATAGGTATTCTTTGATGCCTTGCACTGAGGATCCACTATAAAGCAATCCTTAATTAAGTGCTCACTCTTTTTTTTCTCCTCATGCAGCCTTTCACCTTATTTAGTGTACAGAATCCAAGGTGCTGTGTTAACCTGCATCAACATAACAAATGTCTGTATTTACAGGCATTTCTGTGAGGTAATATCGAGCCTGTGGGGTGGGCTAGTGCCTTATGGATGAGAAACAGATTAAACTTGAGGAAGGGACCCTGAAATTCTGTCTAAGGCTATTTGATGTTACAAAGTTTTTGTTACTGTAGGTATTTAGTGTAACCATTATTTAACCCTTTTTATAGTCCGAAATACAGTAGTCCCATTCATTTCAATTGTAATAAATGCATAGGCTTCTGCAAAATAAATCACTGGGGGCTTAAGGTGAAAAGATATGCTGTTACTAACACCTGTTTGGTTTTAAGTAAAATTATTCATGTCACATAGGAACAGTGTCATCAGCAGATATAAAATTTTTGTTGAGCAGAATTCAATGACTTTACTCCCGTTTTGTGCCAACAGAATCTCTGGGGAATTCAGTTGCCAAATTGTAACTACTGAGACTTTTTTGGAGCATGTGCAAACTGTATCTAAGTCAAATGTGATTGGGTTTTTTTCCTTTTTTTTTCTTTTTTCTTTAACAAAATCATGTAAAAGAGCCCATCTGTGACACAGGCTATACATCTGCCAAACTCCAAGTTCCATCTCTGAAGCATGGGGGTATTTTAAATTCTTAAAATGTCCATGACAAGTGTCTGTGTCAGGCTGATTTTTCTGAAGGAAAGTTTGAGAGTAATGATAACAAGATTTTTTTTTTTAATCTGGGCCAATCAATATAACTTTGCCTCATCACATTCCTGGAAATTGCTGAGCCATCTTTTTGAAACTTTCTCTAAAAGATATAATGAAATAAATCAGCCTCAGGCAAACACTCAGCATGGAAAGTTTCAATCTGTGTGGTTAAAGCTTGAGAAAGTTAGGAGTCATGGAGATGGTGAGCCACCAGCTTTCACTGTAACACTCTAAAGAAATCAGAAACTATGAGGACTAATGCAGACTCTAGAGCTGGAAGAGTGGTGTGATAGAAGCCACTTGGCAGGAAAGGTATTTTATCTGTCCTGACACCTATTAACAACTTCAGAATTCTGTGATGTATTTGGGGTTTGGCCCTAAATCACTGGACAATTAAGCACAAGGCTGAATAGGAACCTCAGCAAGTACAGCTTTCACAAAAGCATGCAGCAGCTTTATTTAATTGTGGAAAGTGAGATGCTTATTTTGAAGAGAAAAATAAAATACTTACCGGAAGTCCTGAAATGTCAGAATATTTCTTGGCAGGCTTAAAGGACGGAGGAGCATCAATATTAAAATCTACACAGAATCAAAGGGATAAATTCAGTGTGCTACCTATATTTTAAAACATAAACTCGAAATTGTAAATAGGTAACAATACTTTAAAATGTTGCCTTTACTTTCTGAAGTAACTAGCAGCGCTAAGGCAAAGAAATAGGCAGCTGAATTACCTCTGAAAACATTTAGCCTATTAGCTTTGTAAACATACTGATTCTGCTCACCTCTCTAATATCAGTTCAGTAAGCAGATCTGCCGTCCCCAAAAGGAAAAATGTGAGAGCTATTTGAAATGTGATTTCTTCCAAGTCTTAATTAATTCCCTTGCAGTCAGATATTTGCAAAGAATAGCCATTATCATATGCATGCTGTATGTTAAGACCATGAAACATTGCTCAAGATTGCAGCTCTGAAATACCATAATCCAGAAAAGCAAAGTAATCTTTTAAATCAGTTAAATCTTTAAGCATGTGCCACTGTAAGCCCAGTCAATGACCTAGAAAATTGTCTGAATGTTTAAAATAAGTTACAGAAATCACTGTTCTTTGGTACCCTTTAGACAACTACTCACATTCATAAACATTTTTAAGATAAAGTTGCAATGTTTAAGTAGTTAAATCCCCAATTTTGGATGTTTACAAAAATATCTTGTACCTGACTCCTTTCCTTCTTCCTTCTTGTGATCTCCCCGCACCTCATTTGGGTGCTATGATCAATTCAAATGCTTCACTCATGTCAAATTTCTAACTCATCATCTCATAATTCAAAAGACTCTAATGCCACAGACAGCTGGTTTTAAATATGCAACTGAATTTCTTTTCCCACCTTCTTAAAAAAAATTTCCTATAAATTTACAGTTGCAAACAGAAGGCAACAGAAGTAACAACATCAGCAGATCGTCAGTTACAATAGCCAGGAACACACAGTAGTCTGCATTCTTCTGTAACAGTTGCATCTAAAACACTTCCAAAAAATGGCAAACTATTTTTGGATAAAGCACCAAGTCTGACAAAAAGTACATGCATATGCTCAATTCTGAAATGGCTCCACTTGCTTAAGTAAAACCTGAGGATCACATTCTGCCTCCAGCTACATTACTTTACAAGTAGACCTGAAGCATATCTAGATTAAGATCACTGCTGTAGCTCTGTTCCTGTAGATGTACACCAGCTAGGACTGCTAAACAGGACTGCTATTAGTGTAGTTTCAGCTGTGCTGAACAGAACAGGGGATGTAGGATTTAATTCTCCCAAGAATCTAGGATAAGGAGCTGGATAGGAAGCTTGGGCTGACGTCTAAGCTACTGCAGGTATGTGGCTTAGCAGAACCTATTTGAAAATAGTTCAAATGTAGCTAATCAAGCAGCAGCCACCCATCAGAAGACATCTGGGCTATATGCAGAGGAAGAGGCTCCTCAGCAGTGAAGAGGTAACAAAAACCTGATGGGAATAAGGACTTTCTGACCTGGTTTGGATAAATACATTTCCTTTATTAAACTCTCTCCCCAAATGTCTTTGAACTTTGTCACAATACTCCAAATTATTTGCTTCCCCTAACTTTACACTTAGGACTGGCAAGTATGATTGGACTCATCTTAAATGTACTACTGGACCCTGTTCAAGCAGGATATTGCATGCACTGATGAAATAATTTAGATTTGTTTTAAAGAAAATTATTTGTGTGGATTTTATTATTTATAAATACATGCAAAGAGTCTAAGCAGCTTACAGCTAGGATCATTTAGTTGCCATGGCAATGCCCTTTCAGAAGCAAGAATTTGTTTTAGGTTCTTCCAAGTTCTGTTCTTCTTGCCAGCTGCTGCTCCACCAATGCCGGAGTGCTAAAATTAAAAATAAGGTATTTAGAGAAAAAATAAAGAAAGAATACTATTTCAGAGCGTGACACTTCTATTTCATAGTCTTTCTGATACGTCTCATCTTGTCATGAACCATTTGTTATCCTGACTTATTTCATCAACAGGCTAATACACTGTATGCTTTAATCTTGGCTGCAAGAAAAACAAAGCTTTTTGGACTGTGTCAAAGCTACTATATTTACTATTAACTGAAGGAAATGAAAATATGCTTTTTACATGGAAATAGAAAATCAATGTGATTAGGTTTAGCCTGAGATTACAGGATGCTGTATGTACTTCCCATCATACTAGAACTTACTACTATGAAGTTGTGTCTAAAACTGTGATTACACAGCTAAATTTTCTCTCTCCGTTTTATGGCATATTACAGGTGCAGCACTAGCTCTTTTACAAATTATCTGTGACTGTAGAAAACACAACTGATCTTGCACAATGTAATGAATATTATGGGAAACTTTCTGGAAATTTTATTTTTCTTTCAAAGGATAGAAGATAGAAAAATAGAAAAAGAGTAATAAATAGAATGTTGGCTGCCAAGACAATTTTACATTTTGAAAGGTACACTAAAGGAAAGCTTGCCAAAGGTACTATAATGGTAGTTTTAGTTATCAAATATGATTGCTACAGAGTAATTTATTTATGTCCCTCCAGAGACAGAAGCTGCACAACATACTGTACTACTACTAAATGATCAAAGGACACAGATTTACAGCTTTACTTTAGAAAAGAAAATGTTCTTACAATTGGGGAATTGTTGCTATTTCTGTTAATAATTACTACCTGCCACATCAGTCTCATCAAAACTCAGCGAAGTTCTGCAAACACAGTTCTGCTGTGATTGGTTTATAAATTAGCATGTTAAGTTGCTGAGAATGGTGGGAGGAAGGATTCAATTAGAAAACTTTTTTCTGTAGACATATGATATATTCAGGAAAGATGCTCATGAGCTGATGATATATCAGGTTTTGGTAATGGATATCCAATATAGAAAGCACATACAAATGTTTGATCTAAGTGTAACACCTTAGTAATCCTAGACACTGCTGGAATATGAGATGAAAAATAGATGTACTACACATTACTAATTCCAGTTAATTACATGAATTTTCCCCAAAATCATTGCATAATGATTTTTTTTTCAGTAATCAGATTTTTCAAAAGGAACTATTGGGTTTATATGAATGTATGCCTCCTAGGTATGGGGCTGGGTATCACCTAACATACCCGCAATCAAAAGGCTATGAGTGATAAATGCAAATGAGCCAAGCTACATCTGCACCAGTGAAGTTCAGAGAAAGCTGGAGCAAGGACAGGTGGAGCTATTCATTGATCTACATAACTGTCAGGTCTTCTTCCTTTTCCCAAGGGATGCAAATTTCATTCAGGAAGTTTAGAAAAAGGCAATTTCTTCCTTATTCTCTGCTTTTAAGTCTACTCTCTGCAGTGAGGTAATAGTTCAAACTTGGGCATACTTATGAGACATAGACATTATTTGATTTATTTTCTTCCTTTTGAGGCAGGCTAGGCTGGAAGGATGCAAAAAGTCATCCAAATTGTTACTACTAATTCATACCAACAAAATGTTAGTTAAAACTCAGTATTTCTTCTCATATTATTTACTGTGTTGGGGAAGACAATTTCATGGTTTTATTATAACTGCCTATTATTTCTGCAGCGGTTGCCAAAGAACCTGTACATTCATTATTATTTCAAGCATGCAGACAGTAGTATTGCCTCTTTGGAAATGGTGACATCCCTCTAAGAACTGAAGGATCAGCACAAGGCCTCACGGCTATTTAATGTATGGAAGCTACATGGAAAAGCTCTGGGCGCAAATGGAGCCTTTCCAATAGGAAAAGATGCTGGTGCTCACTGGAGGATTACGGTGAGCAAAGTATGCAGTTGTTCAAATGCTCCTCATGACAGAAGTTGTCTGCAAAGCAGACATACAGCAACTTGAAAGTCAGAGATTAATTTTATACCCCCCTGACAAACCTGTGCTTAGTGATCTGTGCGATGCCCAATTACTCAGGTTTTATGCCGTGGGATATTGTATCTTATTCATACAGAATGAAAACTGGGATAAAATCCTTCTTTCTAAGTACTGGCTTAGGACCAGCAGTCTGAGAAGTTTGCTTGTCTAGAAAGCATTTGTAGAGTGTGCCAATGAGTTGGCCCTGGCACAGAAAGACAAAAATATATCAAAAACAAAGCCAACAGTGACAGCATTACTAGCCGTAGTCTTCCTTCACCTTCTCCCCCAGTTTAAATCTCAGAGTGTTTTAGCAGACTGTATTTCGTCAGCTGTCAAGAGTCTACAGGACTTCTGAATGTCAGCAGGCCACGCTTCTGGGGAGCACAGAGTGTTTGCTTCTAAATCTAGCAACTACTGGATGAACAGACAACACAGGTCTGTTAAGAATTTTAGGGACCAGGAGAGGAGTAAAATGCCAGTTACTAATAAGTCTCTGGCTGATTTCTATTTCAATTGCTTTGCAGCCTGCCTTGGCTAGGAACTGGGAGATGGGATTCCTACATTCACAACAGTATTAATTGTTCCTCTCTAGCTGTGGTAGTTTGTGAGATACCACACCATAAAACTTCTGCGCCTACCTTGATCTAGCAGGTTTTCTGACTCTGTTCCAGAATTTAATATCGTTCTGCCTCTGGACCAGTACCATTTTCATGTTATAACAGAGTATGCTCTCTGGACCATAAGGTGGCATGGACTTCAGATTAATATCTTAAAAATTGTTGACCTTTTATTTAGGTGTTAAGGTGACTTTGTTAATATTTACATGAGCAATACAGTTAAATAGAATCCTAGTTAATGTTTTATTTGAAGAGTTTAGAATTTAAAATTGTTAAAATAATATACTTACAATGAAGTTTGGATCTTTAAATGGTAACGGCTTGATGGTCGTTTCCACCGATCCTGTGCTGGAGTCTGTGTTCAGAAATTTGTTTTCATTCATGGCCTCTCCACCTGCACTCTGAAGAAAAAATACAATCTTACTGCTTGTTACTCTGAGCAAGTTTAACTGGAGATGGAGCCGTCTGCTGTATTGCCTACCTGTTGCCTTTTTAGCTTTCCTATCTGTTTTGAATCTTTAAAGATGTTGCATGTCAGCAGTGGGGAATCATGAAACAGACTCTTTGTCAAGCAATTTCCAACTGACACATAAACGGGAAGAGTGGAATAGTGGCCAATGCCTACTGAGCAAAAACAGCATCGTGTTTATTTTGGTACTAATGAAAGCTATCTCTGTAAAGTGCAAGACAGCATGTGAAACCCAAACCAGCAAAAACGTACATTGGATCTATTTCAGAATGTTCTGTACTAAAGCATTAACAGGAATATATAAAATTTATAAAAAGGGTTTTTTTCAAGGTTCTAAAGAAAAATTGATTAATCAGTTTATTCTCTATCTTGGCTTCAATCATGCCTGAGTGAAGACTGAGAGAAAAAAATATTTTATTATGTATTATTTTTATATACAAGCCTCACAAAATCTACATGGCTACTAGTTGCTGTTTTCTAGGCTTTTCTTTATGGTTTATTTATTTAGCAGGAAGAACAGTTGGAGAAGGTGTGTGTGTGATTGGAAAGCTAAAAAAGTTATGTGGCCTTCTAACCAATTTCTGATAGTTCTGCATGGCTGAGTTTATGTTGTTTTTTATTTTGTGAGTGCCCTGTAAGTCTCCATACTATCAGAACTAGCCCATGCTACATACCCAAATGATCCTTGTGAAATCCTGATCTATACTGAAGTCAATGAGAATTTCGCCATTGAGTTTGGCAGTTCACTCAATAGGATTTCATACCTTCATTCTTTTTTCTTGAAGAACAAAAAGCTTGGCTAAAAGCTAAATCAATATTTACTGAATGGGTGGTTAAAATGTTTCTTTACTTTGCCTTCAGACAGATAAATCTTAGAACAGAAAAATGTTTTCCTGAGAAAACCTGCACTGAAAAACTTTCTGTGCTGACACAATACTCTTTTAAGTAGGAGAAAAAAGGATCATTATTGTTAGTGAATTATGGGAGTACATCTAGAAACTGGGACTATATAGCAAAGGCCGTAATTCAGCATATCCTTCTCCACGTGATTACAAGGGAAGTGTTTGTATTCTTAACTACATGCATACGTAATTATAGGATTAGGAACTAGGCAAGTTGAACAGTGCCTGTTTTTAACATAGGAGAGAGGTCTTAAATATTCAAAGTATGGAATAAAGAAGCATTCAAGTACAATAGTCATGTTTCTAGTGTCTTATTAAAATAAAATATATGAATAGAGATTATCTATTTCCAAAACAAGCCAGTCCTCTGTAAGCTCCTAGTACAGGGGATACTGCCATCAGTGGAAACAACGCTGAAGTCTGTAGCTTAAACCTGATTACTCCCTTGCGGAGGACAACATTAAAAGGCAGTCACTGTCAGAGAAACAGAAGAAACACAGATGGATGTTTAGAAACATGTGCATTATGTGACAGTGAGCAGAGAAAATATCTTCAGCAATCCTGAGCAAAGTGGCTTTATACAATGTTGCTAGGTTTCAAACTATATTCTTGCACATGCACACTTCCAGCACTTCAGATTTCAGCAGTGAACAAGATGCAAGATTATTTTTTATGAATAAATTATCTCTGATACTGCTCATTATCAGTGTAATTTCTCTAAGTGGAGGAATCAGCACTCACAGTTATTCTTCAAAGCTTTCTTTCCTTTTAGTTGGTACCATTTGGTCAGTTTTAAATCCAATCCTGCAGTTTTCTAAGTATTCCGTTGTTTATGAAACAGGTTTTGAGTAGCATTTCAACAATAACTCAAAACAGTATCTAGTATTTTGAGATGGAGCAAATAAAAATGGTTACACAGAAAGGGGAAGAAGCTTCCCTGTACATATAGTCCTTAAATTCTGCAGCTGGGTACACTTACGTATTACACTCACTGAAATCAGTGGGTTTTTCTGTGTGGATTCAGTGCTAATCTAGCTGGCGCAATGGGAAGGAAAGTAAGGACCGTTCCTGGCAGGACAATTCCTGAATGTAAATTCTACACGTCATTTCTTTTCCGGACCAACCCCTAAGGGATTTCAGGTATTAGTGCTGCTAAGAGTCGGGATAACTCATGTTACAGGCCAGATGTTAATTTTGTTTGTGCCAGTATTCCTTGCACAGTGGCAGAGGCAGCAGGATCTGGAGCAGCAGCTGCTGCTTTTCTGGGCCATGCAGACACCCAAGCCATCCTCCATTCCTATGGAGACAGAGTGCCAGCAGTACCTTCTGGATCTGCCATGGATAATTGGAGAGTAGTGGTTTCCTCTCCAAGACAAAGAGTGCAGGCTGGTGTGCAGGACTGCAAAGCAGCTTGCATACTATAGTGGTATGCAATTGAAACCATGATTTCAGAGCCCTGTGACAGACTGGGAAGCAAATAAGACTTGAGTATTATGATCCTAGTTAAATACTGGGAACTGAGATAAGGACATACTGTAGAGGCATGCCAGTTCCCTCACTCAGCACTGCTTGTATGAAAACTGATTTTCAGCAGTAGCACTGTGGAAGAGAGGTGCTCAGCTAATGTGCTTTTCTTTCTGGAAAAACATTAAAGAATTGAGTAGAAACACTGCTTCCAGAATAACATGCTACTGCAAAGAGGAGTGAACTCCAGCAAGTACAGAGCTTTGAAATGCTTTCTGTGCAGCCTGCAAAAGTCTTAGCAGACATCTTCAGCAGTTTTATAGCCACAAACTGAAAATGTCTCAACAATCTACAAATCTGTCCAGCCTGTGTTTTAAAATGCCATTATTTAAAGCATAAGAAACATCATATAATGTTTCAGGTTTGAAAGTGTTTTTTAAGGGGGAGTGGGGGGGAATGCCAAATGAATTTTAACCAATATGGATCTACCTTTGTACTGCAAAACCCATGTTTCCTGAAGATGAATAATACAGTGACAAATATAAAACATAATTTATAGGCTGAAAGAAGATTCCTCAGTGAACAATTACTGTATGGTAAAGGTAATCCTTAACTTTTAACATTAGTTGAACAAATCTCTCACAAATGTGCTTGTTTGCTTGGTCGTTTAGTTTGGAAAGTAGTTCATTCTTCACTGTCATGTGTTGGGGCAAACAAATAGTAATGAATCCAAATCCTCTTTGTAGTCCTATGAAGCGATGACAGTCTCGTGAGTACAGTGAGGAAGCGCCTGTCACCAGGGAACACGTCCTGCTCAATGTGTGCTCTAACCCTCAGTCACATGTGGGCAACTTCCCCTTCCTGCCCAAGCCAGCCCCCAGCACATTTTCTCTACCCAGCCAGTCTCCTACCTAATTTCCTCACCCCCAGCGTCCTAGGAGAATCCCAAATGTTTTGTAGTAGGGCTAGAAAGAAAGTGTAACCATAAGCTGAAATTCTAGATAACTTCTTTTTAACTGCTTTTGTAATGTAAACGTCGTTTATGGGGAGCTCAGTATACGCTTCAGGGAGGGAGACAAGTGAGGTTGCCTTTAATGTGCACCTTTTAAATAAATTGTGTCTTTTAAGTGGTGGTTTATGTAACTGTATTGGGGTTGTGTGCCAAGGTTTTGGTAGCGGGGTGGCTACATAAGTGGCTTCTGTGAGTAGCTGCTAGAAGCTTCCCCATGTCCAACAGACAATGCCAGCCAGCTCCAAGAGGAGGAAGGAGCAGCAGAGACAACATGTGATGAACTGACCACAACCCCATCCCCTGACCCCCTGTGCCACTGGTGGGGAGGAGGCAGAGAAATTTGAGAATGAAGTTAAGCCCAGGAAGAAGGGAGGGGTGGGGGGATGGTGTTCTTAAGATTTGGTTTTATTTCTCATTATCCTACTCTGATTTGATCGGTAATAAATTAAACTAGTTTCCCCAAGTTAAGTCTGTTTTGCCTGTGACCATAATTGCTGAGTGATCTCTCCCTGTCCTCATCTCGACTCATGAGCCTTTCATTGTATTTTCTCTCCCCTGTCCAGCTGAGGAGGGGAGTGGCAGAGTAGCTTTGGTGGGCACCTGGCATCCAGCCAGTGTCAACCCACCACAGTAATTAGGGCTACACAAAATTTGTGCTACAATAGTCACTATGCAGTATAGGTTTCTCTCCATAAGCTGTTAAATAACAACAAAGACTTTGCAATGGCTTTATGTTTACAGGGTACATCTGCACTGGCAAATGAAGGTGTGACTTCAGTACAGCTGAACATACTTACACTAATTTTACCCCAAAGAACAATAAAAACCTAACAGTAAAGACTGCAGCCAAGCCATCATTAACTATGTTTATCCTTTCCCATCAACTCTTCCTCTGTTAACCTCTGCAGAAGTCCATGCTGCCACCTTTTCCCATGTTACCTTCCTCTGTTCTCCTCCTCCCAGTATCCTCCTTAGTCAGGCGTAGAGCAACCTTGACTAGAATTTCATGTTTTAAAAGTTTTAGACAGCAGTTCAAAGGCTTCTTATATGACCACTTGTGCAATTTTTATTCCCTCTATGAAGTTGTGTTTATGTGCTTTAGCTGAATTTTAACTACAACCACAGTGTGACAGGTTGGCAACCTCTATCCCTCCTGGGACAGACAGGAGCAATAGTGAGGGGTGCTGCTTCTTTTTTGCATTTCTTTTTACAAGATCATCTATTGAGTATTTAGTGCATCCCAGCTGGGTGGGACACTGTCCTCCCTGTTACGTACTAGGACCAGGTGACCGTCACAGAGTGAGGAAGCTGGCTGAGGAGTTGGTTAGGAGACAGCAAAAATTCAAGAGGGCAAAGACATGCAGCAAACATTTGGTAGTCCTAAGAGGTTTGTTATAAGAGCAGCCAAATCTGGGAAAGAGACCTGAGCTAAGCTTTGCTACCTTAACACTAGTTTCTTTTGAATAAAGCCAAACCCCAGGAATGAGCCTAGTTTGGACCCTACTGTATATGCTGTTTGTAGTGGGAGAAAACATGCACTGGGAGGCTGCCTATTCACAAACTACTTTCAGTTTTAGGTTTTGTAGATCAATTAATTTTTTCAATATATTTTTCCAAATTCCCTACCACAGATGTATTGGTTTTCACATGATTTCCAAATATTGCTCCA